GGAAAAGTCAAAACATTTATTCAGACAACGGAACGAATTTTATCGGTGCAAACAACGAACTGAAGAAGTTGTACACATTTGTAAATTCTAAAGAAAATAATGACATAATAGGGCATAATTTGGCAACTGAAGGCATACAGTGGCACTTCAGCCCCCCACGATCCCCTCACTTTGGTGGATTATGGGAATCTGCTGTAAAATCATTTAAAAATCACTTTTTACGAACAGTAGGTAACACGCTGTTAACATTTGAAGAGTTTAACACACACATCATTGAAATTGAGGCAATTCTTAATTCACGTCCCTTGACACCTTTATCATCCGATCCTAATGACCTCCTTGCCCTGACTCCTGGTCATTTCTTAATCAGTGATTCGCTCACAAGCATACCAGACAGAGATTGGACACAAACTCCAAGTAATAGATTGTCAAACTGGCAACATCTTCAACAACTAAGGCAGCATTTCTGGTCACGATGGCAAAAGGAGTACCTCAATGAAATGATAACCAGAACAAAATGGTATCAATCAACATCAAATAAGTTCAGCGTCGGCTCGATGGTTCTAGTGAAAGAAGACAACTTGTCACCGCTTCAGTGGGCGATGGGTAGAATCATTCAACTTCATCCTGGAGATGACGGTATTGTGAGAGTCGTCACAATAAAAACGCGAAGTGGTGAAGTTAAACGTGCAGTGAAGAAATTAGCAATACTTCCAATTGAAGTATAATAACAGTTGATTCAATTGATCGCGACCGATCAATGGCGGGCGGCATGTTCCGTCGCTATTCGGCGAAACGTTTGTTTTTTGTTATGATTATGGTTTTATAATTTTTAATCTTATTCGATTGTCTTTGGTTTTAACTGTACATTCTTTGCATCTTAATTTACATTATCGTGCATATTAGAATTGAATCTTCCCTTGGAATTTACAATACAATAACAACCTATTCGATGTTTACCTGACTGTCATCGTTAAAATCATATTAGGGCCGTATATCACATTTACCTGAAATGCAGTCATCTGCTGTAAAGTTTCTCATACTATAGGGTTGTTCGGAAAGTCATTTCGTTTTTTTTTGTGGAAATGAAAGACAGTTTTCGTATAATAAACAAATACTTTATTAAATTATATATTGACCGTTCTGGTCCAACACCTTTTGTCATCTTTCTGGTAGTAGCATAATTCCACGCTCATAAAATTTTTGGTCTTTGCTGGCAAAAAACTGATCGAGGAGGTTTTTGACCTCCTCATTTGAGGTGAAGGTTTTACCGTCTAAAAAATTTTGGA